TGGTATTTCACCCCCAAGGTAGGGAAAACTTTGATCCACAAGGACAGTCCTCCAGGCAGTCAGACTACATTTCTGAACGTGGGTGAAATTAAGCAACTACCATGTATGAGAATTAATTAATCCTGTCAATAAAGGGCAGAAACACAGAGCTATGAAGGCAGAGGATTTTTTCCACAAACTGCTGTTTCCATCTTTTATTTATCAGCCTTGATCCTCAAGAGAGACCAATGAAAGTCTAAGGAAAAAAGATCCTGATTTTACTGAATGCTAGAAAACAGACTTAATAAAGACATTGACTTATGGCACGTTATAATTTCTCCCAGTCTCCAGATCCTGCTAAGCCAACGTTGTTTCACTGGAAATAGTAATGACTATCTCTTTCGCTTCCACAGCAATGTAACTTCCCCTTTCTTTAATATCACTTTCTGCTCCGTAGAAGTTGGGTACCTTTTTCTTTCAGATTGCCTGATTAACACAATTAGTTAAACCCAGAGCCATTTCCCCAACATGTAACTGTTACTGTTGGTAGCTATTGTTTAAAATATGAAGGGGAATGTGTATCTGAAAGCCTGTTCAACTTTTCAGCGCTTCAGCTAATAACACGTTACAAAATTTGTCTTTTGACCATACCGATTATAACGCTTTACTAACTCTGCTTTTTTTTAAACCCTGTCTATGGCTAGTAAAAGAAACAGCTCAGTAAACATGTTGCTTTGCTGAAAAGCTTAAGCAGTAACAGTGGGGAACTGAGAGTAAGAGCTATTTGAACAGAATTGATTACATTAATTTTCAACTGCAAGAAGTATTTGCAGTGCTTGTATGGCCATCATCCTAATCTTTTTCTGCATGCAGCTCAGACATAACTTTTTCCCAATGGATATTGTTGTGCACTGTGTTTATCTTTGACAGCATCCAGAATAGCTGGATATTCCCTTTCTGAAAACTGTATCCTGTTTCTGACAGTGGTGAAGAACTGCTTTGGAGTACATTTTAGCAAATGTACTCATTTTACGTCTTTTACTACTTGCATTATTTCATAAACTAAGTCCCTGCTGTTTTAGTCACTGTACAGATGGAATAAATAAGACAGTGTCTGCTCCAACAACTTAGAATCGAAGTATGAGGTAAAAAGAGAACAGATGGATAAAGGAAGAGTGGGGAGTACAAGGAAGCAATGAAAACTATTTTGGTTAAGGTGGTAGGAGGGCATGTGTCAATCTAGCTATAGTTGTGGGATAATTTTAAAAACCAGTTCAAAGGAAGTAGCCTGGTGGATGTTTACAGTGAGCCTGTGGGACAACATGATAGAACGCATGACGATGGCTGACAATCTATCAGGCAGTGGAAACTCTTGCTACCAAATGAGCAAACACAAGAAAAGTGAAAGCAGCTCAGTCTTGATGTACAAAAAGGAAAAAGTAGAGAAATTAATATAGGAACAAACATCATCAAAACAGCAGCCGGGAAAATGACATACATAAAGCAAAACTATAATGGTCAAACTGAGAGAAAAGGATAGTGTAGCTGAGGTCCCAGACGATAAGAACCTGAACAAAGAGTTCTGGCTGCACAGATGACTACGGAAGGTTATACTTCTAAAACCAGACAGAAAAAAAGTGATATGAATTATCAGCACATAGTGCTGGAATGCGTATTTATGTATGATATTAGAAGCAAACTGGCACTGTTAGAACTGTATACAATAACTTCGTTTCCTGAATTAAAACAGAAAACTTAGAGACCATTTCTTGTAGGTATTGTCAAGGCTACTTTTTCCCCTACATACATTAATTTAGTCTTACTGATGTTACATTTCACACGTTGTTTTATAATTCTCAGTGTCACAAGATCCTCCTTACTGTTTCACAGTCATATCTACATTTGATCATGTTCAATAATTGTCACCAGCAAACTGTATTCCCTCATTATTTGCCCCCCAATCATTTAATGAATACTTGGAACATCACATGTCCTTTTGAGCTCCCACTGCTGAACACCAAAAGGAATTCCTAAGCTGTGGTTCTCTCTTTTAACCAGTGATGAGCTCAGGCAGTATTCAAATTATAAAGCAAAAGAATGCAAGATTCAAAGGAGCAGTAAAAGAATGATGGGAGTTGGGAGCAAAGGAGGCTAGGGATGGGTAAGGTGACCTGGACATTCAAATTCTTTACTCTAGAGAAGATACAGGGGAGCTTTAGGTCTTTAACAGATTAAGGGGATGGACTGGATTGTCTTTAAATTCCCTTTAGCACCTACATTCTATTTTCTTACAGGTTCTTTAGCTGGTTTAATAGCAACAAAATAAATGGCACTGCAATCATTTTGAAGTTATGCAGACCTTTTTCTCAATTCTGTTAAAGAATAAGAAGTACAGTGGGAACCAAAGCAATATTATGTTCCCGTATCATTTCATTAGTTAATGTATCTAAAATGCTTTCAATAACTATTTAATTAAGCACAGAATGTGTTGAGCTGAAATTAATATGTTGACATAAAGAAAACAAATACTTTTTTTCATGTGGTTTAATTTTAAGAAACCAAAATGAGGAGGGAAGTTTACAGTTACATATTCTTATGAGAATATTAATAGCAAAGAACCTGAATTCTGAAAACAGCCATCTCAAGAATTCTATCTTTGCTTATTCAATAGGCCATCAACCTAAGTAAGAAATAACACTGCATTTATTTTAAAACTAGTTCTGAATTTTAAAGGAGGCCAAAAGTCTTACTATTAAACTCAAGTTAGAAAATGGTTTAATACAGTGAGTCAACTTTGCCTGTTTAACAGATTTCTCTTATAAGCCTGTTCATGGCAACAAGAATTTACTGCTTATTGGCAGCTTGAGTATTTCTTCTTACTTTAGCAGCTTTTTCACTCTTTGAGCCACAGAACAAAAAAGCCTAGACATGGGCATAATTGTGCTTTTTCCTTATCAAGAAACTACATAGGAAAACATATACTCTTTTACTCGGAATTAAACAGAGTAGCATCTACTGAGATCATGAGATCAATTAGTCATAAGAAAATCATCAAAACCCATTGATATTAAAAGGTAGTTCAATTCAGCTCATTCATCTTAAGAAGTACCTTGACCCTGCGGGGCTAAAGCTGCCCTAAATAGCAGGATCTATTACATAATCCATACTTAGGCTTATGTCACCATGCTGGAGGTTTCTCATTTAAATGAGATCAAAATCTCTCCACTATTTAGCATGGGCTTTAAGTCTTTAGCATTCTTAAACAAAGGATTCTTGGACCCAGCTGCACTTCATGTAAAATAAGGTTGTAAGACTCGAGAAAATCAGACATATTCAAGTTTACTGGAATCCGTATGAGCTAGTAGAAAGCAATTTTTTCTGAAGGGCAACAATTCTAAAATATGAGGTAAAAGAGGCAATTAGCTTTTGCCTTACCTCTAACGAAGGATCTAAACTGCTTGAAACACTGATGAAGCGAAAAAAATATGGCACACTATCACCACAAAAATGGGAGATGACTCAAGAAGTAAGCGTACAAGTCTACAAGACAATGTCCTTATGGCAGCATGATATATTTTGAGTTTGGCATTGTAGATAAATCCCTGCATCTACCAACAAGATATGTGAAACAATATTTTGCCACTCATGGTATTCATGATTATTTATGTTTGACAGCTTGAAGTAAATAGGACAAATTAGAATTTTCAAGTATTTTGACAGTTCTGTAGTTTGACTAAATTTAGTTCACAGAGTTTGAGGAATGCGTGCTGTGAACAAAGGGGAGAACTAGAAATTCAGAGTGGGTAAGCCTTCCTGCTGCTGATCTGAGTTGAAAGACACTGCTAACAGAAAAGAGTTTGTAAAGGAAGGGTGAGGGTGGAAGAGCATTATTTTTTTCCTTTCCAGGAAAAAGAGAACGAATAAAAGAGACTGAAATTTACAGGAGAGCAGAGAAGCAGATCACAGAATGGAAGAAAATCATGGAAGATGGATGGGAGCTGCAGGATGCTGAATATCAGATAGATAAAAATGTATATAAAAAGGTTTTGTCCCTATTGAGTCACGCAAGACATGGTTGTAGACAATTTGACTGTCTCTCTGGCAGACTTCCTGTTTCTGATGCAAAATGCAATGCATCATTACTCTGAGCAAATTGATAACATTGTTTAAAAAATACTTAAGAAAAGAAAACAAGTATGGTTAAACAACAAGGTCAGACATGCTATTCAAATTAAGAAGGAAACCTTCAAAACTCAATCCTGTCCAAATGAGAAAACCATTACAATGTATCAGGTGAAAAAGGGCAATTTGTGAAGGGATTAAGAACTATCTATACAATCTGTTTCAAATCTATATCAGAAACAGAAAAACCTTCAGAGAATCTGTGGGACCAATAGGTCATAACAAAGTTTAAAAAAAGACTTTTTGCATCCATGTGGTTTGAAAATCCTGACACAGAAGATGTAATTGTCTGCAAAACCGGTTTTACTCTGAATAGATAAAATAGTAACAAATCAGCAGAACCAGAGGTTATCCACCCAACAGATCTAGAGAAATGCAGGGATGAAATATATGAACTACTGTCATGTAATTATCAGAAGGCAAGGTACTTCACCAAGGCTCTTGAAGGCATTAGGCTACCATGACAAAAGAGGAAAAGTTCTCACGTAGTAAAAGAGGACATAGGAGTAAATGGTTAAAAAATTTCATTGTGAAGGAAGATCATTCTCTTTCTTTCCTGTAATCCTATGTTTGCATTTGTGGAAATGACTATATTGACAAGCTACTGTCCATATATAAAATGCTCACAATTTCCAAAGTCAAGATGTAATTCTGTGGATCTTTGATTTCTATAATTTGAAATGTCCTTTTCACTGTTACTGTTTTGTTGTTGTTGTTGGTTGGTTGTTGGGGGGTTTTTTTGTTATGGTTTAATAAATAAACTTGATTAAAAATGTTGGAAAATAAAGAAAGATGCAGTAAGTTCTTTATAATATTTTTAAAAAACAGCTTGTACTTACCTGCTTTCTGACACTGTACTATCTTCTCATATAAGCTATCTGTATTTTCAACTAGAGTTCTGATAGTCTGAATCATCTGTAGAGAAAATAAATTAAAACATATAGAAATATCAGTAAAATTCAGTTTTTACTGAAATTTTTTATCTGTAAAAGATGCTTAAATTTGAACTCAAATCCATAATCTAATATTTGTTGTTAACATAATGAATACATTCATTTTCCCAGTCATGACCAGGCAGAGAATTGTTCTAAATGTAGCATAAAGACATAAAAAAATACAATGGTTTTGGGCTGGGATCTGTGAATATTGAAGCAAAATGTCTACTCCATAATTCATCGCCTATCAAAGCAAGTGGAAATTATACAACTCTTTACCAGGTAATTCATTTTTGGAGGCTTGGGTGAGATAACCTGGATGCAGGTTTCCTCTTCCTCACTCACTCTGACATTCAGGATGATGACGTGACTGCTCACCACCCAGTGCTTCCTTTTTCCTATGGATCATCCCATTGCTTTTCCAGATTTGTTCCTCTACATTTTCCCTTTTTGTGGCTTGACCTGTACATATGTATGAGACCACAATCTATGGAGGAAAACAAATCACTCGAGGCTGGTACTGGAGGATAAGTGTCATGGTTTAACCCCAGTCAGCAACTAAGCACCACACAGCTGCTTGCTCACCCTCCCCCCCACCCCCAGTGGATGGGGGAGAGAATTGGGGAAAAAAAAAGAAGTAAAACCCCTGGGTTGAGATAAAGACAGTCTAATAATAAATATACAAAATAAGTGATGCACAATGCAATTGCTCACCACCCACTGACCGATGCCCAGCCGGTCCCCAAGCAGCAATCGCTGCCCCCCAGCCAACTCCCCCCAGTTTATATACTGAGCATGACGTCATATGGTATGGAATAGCCCTTTGGTCACTTTGAGTCAGGTGTCCTGGCTGTGCCCCATCGCAGCTTCTTGTGCACCTGGCAGGGCATGGGAAGCTGAAAAGTCCTTGACTAGTGTAAGCACTACTTAGCAACGACTAAAATATCAGTGTGTTATCAGCATTATTCTCATGTTAAATCTAAAACACAGCACTATAACAGCTACTAGAAAGAAAATTAACTCTATCCCAGCCAAAACCAGGACAATAAGGAAAATAAATTATTCCTTTATCTGATCTGTCTAAACAAAAAGCCTTTCATGGAAGCTCAGCTGAAAGCACACCAAATAAGATGGAACTGTGCAGATTTTTCATCCTAGGGTATGTATTGGGAAGTAACAACTTTGCTTCACACCTTACCCAGTGACGTCTCTGGTATCCACTCAAGCAGACAGATTTCTTGCCACTACAACAATGACTAACGTTTGACATGTTACTTATGTGGGTATTCATGTGGAACTTTCTTCTCCTTAGGAGACCACAATTGCTGTTGTGAGCAGGAAAGTTCCATGTTACAGGAAGAAAACCCCAAACCTGTCTAACACTCTTCCTCAGAGAAATATTACTTTAAGAGGCATGACTATGGTAGTCCTTCCTCACATATATTAGAAGGAGCCTTCTCCACTTGAGTGACATTGAGGCTGTTTTTCTGAACATTGCTCTAAGTGAGGCATAAACCAATTTGGAGAAGCAGGCAAGTAAGCCTCAGATTTTTGACCATGGCAAGTGTGAAAGCAAGTGACAAGGAAGAACATCTGCATAGGTGTAAACTACTCTGCAGACTTCTATTATTTTCAGCTACACAAAAATCTGGTTTAAGCAAATGACAAAGCATTTAAAAGTAATTCTAGTTCTGTTTCTATTATTTCAATTTAAAATTATAAAGAAAATGATGCAAACCCCCAAATTTTTAGTTTATGCTACATATAAACAACATGTGAACATGCAACTTCAGGGTACGTGGAAGTCATCATACTGGGTCATTTAACTTAACCTTCACATCCTGATTAATCTGTATTTAATTTCAAAGTATCTATTTATCCTGATTTACATTATGTCAGTTTTAAAAAAAATAAATGCAAATTACAATAAATGAGGAAAAAATAACAACTTGATCAGGTTGTTAAACTGCAAGTGAAATAATTTAGCTTGCCCATTTTTAAGTGGACTGTTCTTTGAATATAAATATTAATATTCACTCAAGCAAAAACCACCTATAAATAGAATTATGCCGATTACTATTAGGTGTAAGAAATTGAAGACAGCTATTTTAAAGAGAAGCATACTTAAATAAGAGAATACTATATTTCACCCAGATAGGATTCTTTAGGGAGCACTGCAAACTGACTATTACTGATTCGTTAAGGAGAAAGCTGTACTTCACTCTGCTTCATTAGTATTTGGTCCTTAAAACAGTATTCAGAAATTGAAGTGAAGCCACTACAAATTTTCTTGAAAGGCAAGGATTTTACCTGTTTCAATATGTATGTCATGTAACACATTTGCTTCTGTAATGCACTTAAATGAAGGGAACCAAAACACAGCTGACTTCATTCGCAAATATACTTCCAATAACTGATGTTATTTTCCCAACTAGCTGAAAGGATACTGTAAAGCATCCTATATTGAGCTTCTGCTGCATTGAAAATCACCTTGAAAAATGAAATGCTGAGCACTTATTGCTCTTGTTTTGTCAGGATGCTAATACACAATAATAAGGACTGCAGTAGGAATCTCTGTTAATAAGAATCCTTTCACCTGAGAACCCTTTTGACTGAAGTTCATAAAAGAGAGAGACCAATTGTGCTGCCTATTTAGGGTATTTGTTCTGGAGGAACTGTAAGAAATACAGCAACTGCCCTATGTGAGTTTATTCTGTGTTCCTGACCCCATGTGTGTAACAGTGTAACTTCTAAGTCATCTCAGTTAGGTCCTATTCCAAACATGGAACATCTCTATCTGCTGTGTTGCCTTCATACAATACATTCTATATGCATATCAGATAATTTAGAAGTAGTGGAGAACAAGTCTCAGCAGATTAGAAAACTTATTGAGACATTGAACTGATTTTCAGAAATAAGATAATTCAAAGATGAATAAAAATGCTTACATCACTGCTGCTTTGTTTACTTTCTGTATTGACAAAGCAAGAAAGTTGTACTAGTTCTGCAGATGAAAGGAAATGAAACTAATCACTGTATTAGTGCTCTTTCATCAGGGCAAGGCTAACATTGAAGAAGAATTTATAAAAATGTGTGCAGACTTAATATTTCAGTTTTGGTATGGAAAGTTGCTTTGGATTAATACTCTCAGATCAAAAGCAATGCCCTCTTTGAACTTTTGAAGAAAAATGTCAATGCATTTCATGTGACAGAAATGATCCTAGTATCAATTTTTATATTACCAAGGCCAGTAACACTTACTTTCTTTATCTTTGGTCTCTAAAATACATACAAAGCTGTATTTGAGATTAACAGCACCACTAAGCAAAATTGGCTGAGCTAGCAATAATTCAGGGGGTGATTGCCACAATAAATATTATGCTACACCCCAATTTTGTGGACGTCCTTCACTAAGGAAATAATGGAGCAGTATGCCATGTGCATGAGTAGGTGTCACCTGTTAGTCGTGTTTGATTAATAAAGTAATAGTATTAGTTCATTATAATTTTATTCTTACATTGCTCTTCAACATGCAGTCACCTTTTAGTACGTATTCAGCTATTTGTTCAATGACTATTATGGAGTGTTTGAACATACAAATTCTTTTTGGTGTTCAAGCCAAAATTGTAACATCATGAAAACATTCATGTAGATATTAACAGAGACTGAAAGACTTTTGGTAGACACAACATATGGAACAACTGAATATAAATGGTTATACTTAAACAGAAAATTAGCCTTATCCAAATGATACTTTTATGCATGTGTGTGCTGGGTATAAAAGCGAAGTAGAAAATACCGAGTAAGCAGGAGCTTCAGTGTGAAAAACAGTGTGTCTGCAGCAGAACGGGAAATCAAATTCTCAAGGCAAATTAGTTGTGGAAATTGAGGAGAAAGACCAAGTAGAGTCTAGTATATATTAGACTAGTCTATACTGAACAAGCCAATCAATAAGCAGGTATTTGCTAACCACAGCCAACTTTGAGAATATTATCAGTGACAAAACTGGAAAGAGAAATGCAAACAAACTTAAGAAGGAACAACCAGTTACCAGCTGATCATTAAAAATTTACTGCAAATTACCCATGCCTATTCTAAAAAAAGAAAAGATATTATATGAAATTTAGTAGCTATACTTTCTAGCAAGTCTTTTACAATATTAATTCCTATCTCTAGCCTATGCTGCTTTTTTCTGGAAGTAAAGGTTCAAAATACCCAACAAATCTATTTTAAATACAGAATGTGTAACACTTGCTGGAATTGCTTCAACTCTCCCTTCAGTTCCTGCACCCCCACCCCACCCCAATCTTAGTATGACCAGAGAACTGCTCTAGTACTCACTACATACTGGACTATCTTCCTCTTTGTTTTTTCTTTTTGGTCAATGGAAAAAGTAAAACGGTACGCTTTATCAGCCTTGAAGTCACCACATTTTTGCAGAGGCCAGGCTGACAGTTTGATCTATTCGTCAAATTCTTATTTGTTAAATCATGCAACCATTTTACCTAGTTATCAGAAAAACTGTCAGTAATTCTAAGAAAAGGACAACCGTCAAGAAAGATGTAAAAAAATATTTAAATTATTCTTAAGGGGTTTTAGAAATAAAAGCTACATGATTTGCCAGAGTTCTCAGTGAGGATTAAAGACCTGTATTATTATATATTGTCTCTGCCTTAAAAAGCATGACGATGATAGTTAGAAATCAAAACAATACTTGCTTCAAACTGATGGAACTGCGTTGCTAAGAGTACCATTCAGCATTTATGTGACAGTGTCTTAACAAACCAAATGAAGAAGTCATACACTTAAAAATACATCTATCCTTTCTCAGCAAAATAGAACTCTCTCATTAAAAGAGACAGTTACAGAAAATTAAAAATATACATGTATACACTACCCATTAGGCTTATTTTTATGTCGCAAAGCTTTAGTAAGTCCGTTCCCGTTGCTGTGTTATGAAAGAGGTGAGTGCTAACACTG